AAAAAAAAAAAAAAAAAAAAAAAATTAACGGCCAGGCACAGTGGCTCATGCCTGTAATCCCAGCACTTTGGGAGGCTAAGGTGGGCAGGGCGCCTAAGGTCAGGAGTTCAAGACCAGCCTGGCCAACATGATGAAACCCCGTCTCTACTAAAAACACAAAAATTAGCCGGGTGTGGTGGCAGGCACCTGTTAATCCCAGCTACTTGGAAGGCTGAGGCAGGAGAATTGCTTGAACCTGGGAGGTGGAGGTTGCAGTGAACCAAGATTGTGCCATTGCACTCCAGCCTGGGGGACAAGAGCAAGATTTTGTCTCAAAAAAAAAAAAAAAATTTAAACTGAATCAAGGAATATGTAAAAATGATGATTCATCATGATCAAGTAGGGGTATAGTCTCAATTCAAGTTTGGTTAACATTTGAAAAATCAATGTATTATGTTGACGCAAAAGTAATTGCAGTTTTTGCCATTATTTTCATTGGCAAAACAGCAATTACTTTTGCACCAACCTAATAATTTACCATATTATAGAATTAAAGGAGAAAAATAATACAATTGTCCAAATAAAAGTAGATAAAGCATTTGTCAAACTTCAACAATTAACAGTTGTGATAAACAAAACTCAACAAAATTTTAACAGACTGATAAAGAACACCTACGAAAAACCTAAGGCTTATATCCCACTTGGTAGTAAAATGCTGAACATTCTCCCCCTAAGATCATGAACAAAGCAAGGGTGTCTGTTCTCACTATTTCCACGTAACACTGTATTGGAAGTCCAGTACAATAAGGCAAGGAAAAGAAATAAAAAGCATAAAGATTTGAAAGAAAGAACTAAAACAGTCATTATTCATAGATAATATGATTACATATTTAGAAAAATCATTGGGAATGTACAAAAACCTGTCACAATAAGCAAAAGTACCAAGGTTTCAAAGACATAAAATATATATGTAAAAATTGGTTTCACATATACACCAAACAGCAAACGACTGGAAAGCAGAAAATGTTTAAATTATTATAATTTCATTAAGAAAAAATACTGAGGAATAGATTTAATACAAGGTGAGCAGGGCATTGTCGAGGGAAATTGACTAAATATCTGGAGAGATACATCATGTTTGTAAATTAAGCGACTTAATATTGTTAACATGTCAGTTCTCTCCAAGATTATTTACAGATTCAACCCGATCATCATAATCTCAGAAAATTTTTGAATAGAAATTGACAAGATGGGCCTGGCACGGTGGCTCACACCTGTAATCCCAGCACTTTGGGAGGCCGAGGTGGGCGGATCACAAGGTCTGGAATTCGAGACCAGCCTGGCTAATATGGTGAAACCCTGTCTTCACTAAAAATACAAAAATTAGCCAGGCATGGTGGTGGGTGTCTGTAGTCCCAGCTACCCGGGAGCTGAGTCAGGAGAATCGCTTGAACCCGGGAGGGGGAGGTTGCAGTGAGCCGAGATTCTGCCACTGCACTCCAGTCTGGGTGACAGAGTGAGACTCCGTCTCAAAAAAACAAAAACAGGTGGGGCGCAGTGGCTCACGCCTGTAATCCCAGCACTTTGGGAGGCCGAGGTGGGCGGATCACAAGGTCAGGAGATCGAGACCATTCTGGCTAACACGGTGAAACCCCGTCTCTACTAAAAATACAAACAAAATTATCCAGGCCTGGTGGCAGGCACCTGTAATCCCAGCTACTCAGGAGGCTGAGGCAGGAGAATGGCGTGAACCCGAGAGGCAGAGCTTGCAGTGAGCCGAGATTGTGCCACATTACTCCAGCCTGGGCAACAGAGCGAGACTCTGTCTCAAAAACAACAAAAACAAATTGACAAGATGATTTGAAAACTTATATAGAAATGCAAAACACTAGAATAGCCAAAACAACTTTTTTTTTTTTTGAGACAGGGCCTCGCTTGATTGCCCAGGCTGGAGTGCAGTAGCACGATCTTGGCTCACTGCAGCCTCGACCTCTTTAGACTCAAGTGATCCTTCTGCCTCAGCCTCCCAAGTAGCTGGGAATGCAGCACACACCACCACACCTGGCTACTTTTTGTATTTTTTTTGTAGAGACAGGGTTTTGCCAAGTTGCCCCGGCTGGTCTCAAACTCCCGGGCTCAAGTGGTCTGCCCGCCTCGGCCTCCCAAAGTGCTGGGATTACAGGTGTGAGCCACTGTGCCTGGCTCAAAACAATCTTGAAAAGTTAAAGAAACAAAGTTGGAGGACTTATACTAGATGATTTTAAAGTTTCGTATAAAGCTACAATAATAATAAATAGTGTGGTATTGTTATAGGAAAAATATATACATCAGTGACACAGACTAGGAAGTCCAGAAATCGCCGGGCGTGGTGGCTCAAGCCTGTAATCCCAGCACTTTGGGAGGCTGAGACAGGCGGATCACGAGGTCAGGAGATCGAGACCATCCTGGCTAACACGGTGAAACCCATCTCCACTAAAATACAAAAAAAAATTAGCCGGGCGTGGTGGCGGGCGCCTGTAGTCCCAGCTACTTGGAGGCTGAGGCAGGAGAATGGCGTGAACCCGGGAGGCAGAGCTTTCAGTGAGCTGAGATCCGGCCACTGCACTCCAGCCTGGGTGACAGAATGAGACGCAGCCTCAAAAAAACAGAAATAAAAACAAAAAAAGAAAGTCCAGAAATCATTCCTCATATATATATTTTTGATAAACGTACCCAGGTATTCAATGGGAAAAGAGTGTTTTCATCAAACAATGTTTTGAAAACTGAATATTCATATGGGTTGAGTGCAGTGGCTCACACCTATAATCCTGGCACTTTGTTAGGTTTGAGCCCAGGGGTTTGAGACCAGCCTGGGCAACATAGGGAGACCCCATCTCTACAAAAAAAAAAATTAGTGGGGCATAGTGGCATGCACCTAAAGTCCTAGCTACTCAGGAAGCTGAGGCAGGAGGACTGCTTGAGCCCAGGAAGTTGAGGTTGCAGTGAGCTAGGATCACACCACTGCGCTCCAGCCTGGGACACAGACAGAGGGAGACCAAAAAAGAAAAAAAAAAAAAAAAAGATATTCTTGGCCAGCTAAGTGGCTCACACCTGTAATCCCAGCACTTTAGAAGGCCAAGGCAGGTGGAATCACTTTGAGGTCAGGAGTTTGAGACCAGCCTGGCCAATACAGTGAAACCCTATCTCTACTAAAAATACCAAAAATTAGCTGGGCATGGTGGCGCATCCTGTAATCCCAGCTACTCAGGAGGCTGAGGCAGGAGAATCACTTGAACCTGGGAGGCAGAGGTTGCAGTGAGCAGAGATCACGCCACTGCTCTCCAGGCCTGGGCAACAGGAGCGAGACTCTATCTCAAAAAAAAAAAAAAAAGAAAGGGAAAAAAGAACTTTGTCTTTTACTTCAATTATATACCAAAAATTAATTTGAGGTAGGTCATAGTATAAAATACAAAGCCTAAAATCATAAAGCTTTTAGAAGCAAAGAAGAATATCTTTATGATTAAGGTAGGGAAAGATGTCTTAGAGAAGATACAAAAGGCATTAACCATAAATGGACAAAAAAAGATAAATTGGACTCATCAGAACTAAAATGTCTGCTCATGAAAAGACCACTGTTGAGAAAATGAAGAGACAAGCCACAGGTTGGGAAAAATCTTTACAATGGCAATACAACCACTTTTTTTTTCTTTTGAGAGAGTCTCACTCTCTCTCTCTGGCCGGAGTGCAGTGCACGATCTCACTACAACCTCTGCCTCCCCGGTTCAAGCGATTCTCCTGCCTCAGCCTACCCAGATAGCCAGGGTTAAGGCGCGGTGCCACCACGCCTGGCTAATTTTTTGTATTTTTTAGTAGAGATGGGTTTTACTGTGTTGGCCAGGCATGGTCTCAAACTCCTGACCTCAAAGCTAATCTGCCTGCCTCAGCCTCACCAAAGTGCTGGGATTACAGGCCATGAGTCACCCTCGGCCGGCCCAATACCTATTTTTGACAAAGCATTTGTATCATAATATATAAAGAATTACAAATCATTAATAAAAGACAATCGATAACAAATGAACTAAAGGCTGAACAGATACTTTACAAAAGAAATATCTGGACAGCAAAAAAAAAAAAAAAAAAAAAAGCACAGAAGGCCAGGTACAGTGGCTCACGCCTGTAATCCCAGTACTTGGGGAGGAGGCTGAGGCAGGAGGATAGCTTGAGCCCAGGAGTTCAAGACCAGCTTGGACAACAGAGCAAGACCTCATCTCTTTTTAAACAATTAATCAATCAACTAAAAAAGAGGCCAGGTGCAGTGGCTCACACCTGTAATCTCAGCACTTTGGGAGGCCAAGGCAGATGGAACAGGAGGTCAGGAGTTTGAGACCAACCCAGCCAACATAGTGAAACCCTGTCTCTACTAAAAATACAAAAATTAGACTGGGCACAGTGGCTCATGCCTGTAATGGGAGGCCTAGGTGGGCAGATCACCTGAGGTTGGGAGTTCGAGATCAGCCTGACCAACACAGTAAAACCCCATCTCTACTAAAAATACAAAATAAGCCAGGTTTGGTGGCGCATGCCTGTAATCCCAGCACTCTGGGAGGACAAGGCGGGCAGATTGCCTGAGGTCAGGAGTTTGAGACTGGTCTGGCTAACATGGTGAAACCACGTCTGTACTAAAAATACAAAACAATTAGCCGGGCGTGGTGGCGTGTGACTGTAATCCCAGCTACTTAGGAGGCTGAGGCAGGGGAATTGCTTGAACCAGGAAGGTGGAGGTTGCAGGGAGCCGAGATGGTGCCACTGCACTCCAGCCTCAGTGACAGAGTGAGACTCTGTGTCAAAAAAGAAAAAAAGGCATTCAACATCATTAGTCACCAGAGAAATACAAATTAAAGCCACAATGAGATACCAATATGCACCCACAAAATAGCTCAAATCAACAACACTGACAATGCCAAATGTTGACAAGGGTGTAAACAACGAGAACTCTCATGTTACTGTTAGAATAAAAAATGGCAGTTAGTGGTGGTAGTTACCTGTATGAGTCTGCGGCAACCTCCATTCTTGCCTCCTCAGAAGAAAGAATTCGACTGAGGGCCGTAAGGCAGAAGGAGAGAGATCAAGGCAGGTTTTAGAACAGGAGTGAAAGTTATAAAAAATCTTTACAGCAGTAAGGAAAGGAAGGAAAGTTCACTTGGAAGAGGGCCAAGCGGGCGACTCGAGAGACCTCGTGCACAGCTTGACCTCTTGACTTGGCGTTTTGCACATTGGCATATACTTCCGGGGCCTCGAGTTATTTCTCCCCACTCCTCGGATCTTATTGGAAAGCTGCCGACCACCAATTTCAGGTGTTTTCTATCTATTAAGGGCCTGCCTTTCCCTGCACTGGCTGTGGTCAATTATTACTTTAGAGACACAGTTAACAACCACCTGACCATCACCTGATGGTCGCCCAACACTCCTAGTGTGTGTGGGGGGAGCCTTCTCCTGGCCTGCTCCTACCTGACTAGTCACCTACTGTAGCAGCACAGCCATTTTGGAAAAGTGTTTGACTATTTGTTATAAAGTTAAACACACACCAACTCTGACAGTTTATAAGAGCATAAAGTTAAATGTATACCTACTCTTATACTCAATTCCACTCTTATTTTCTCAAGAGAAATGAAAACATACGTCCACAAAAAGACTTGTATAACAATGTTTGTAGCAGCTTTATTCATAATAGCCCCAAACTGGAAAGAACTCAAATGTCCGTCAAGAGGAGAATGGATAAACAAGCTGTAGTAGATTAAGTATTAAGGCAATGGAATACCACCTAGCACTGTTTTTTTTTTTTTTTTGAGACAGGGTCTCCCTCTGTTGCCAAGGCTGGAGTGCAGTGGTGTGATATCAGCTCACTGCAGCATCTACCTCCTGGGATCAAGCAATACTCCCACCTCAGCCTCCCAAGTAGCCAGGAACACAGGTGCACGCCACCACACCCAGCTATTTAAAAAATTTTTTTAGAGACAGAGTCTCCCTATGTTGCCCAGGCTAGTTTCAAACTCCTGGTGCTCAAGTGATCCTCCCACTTTGGCCTTCCAAAGTGCTGGAATTACAGGCATGAGCCCCTGCACCCAGCCTACTTAACAATTTTTAAAAACCTACTTATTCACTCAACAATGTGGATTACTCAAAAATCTTATGTAGAGTGACAGAAGCTAGAATTAACAATCACTGGTCATAGAAATCAGAAAAGTGGTTGTCAGTAAACAGACAATGTACAGAATGGGAGAAAATATTTGCAAACCATACACTCAACAAAGGTCTAATATCTGGAATCTATAAGGAACTTAAATAATTCAACAAATGAAAAACAAGTAACTCCATTAAAAATAGGCAAATACATGAACAGACACTTCTCAAAATAAGACAAGAGTGGCCGGCGCAGAGGCTCATGCCTGTAATCCAAGCACTTTGGGAGGCCGAGGCAGTGGATCACCTGAGGTTGGGAGTTCAAGACCAGCCTGAGCAACATGGAGAAACTCGTCTCTACTAAAAATACAAAAATTAGCCAGGTGTGGCAGCACATGCCTGTAATCCCAGCTACTTGGGAGGCTGAGGCAGGAGGATCGCTTGAACCTGGGAGGCAGAGGTTTCGGTGAACCGAGACCATGCCATTGCACTCCAAGCTAAGCAACAAGAGCATAACTCTGTCTCAAAAAAATAATAATAAATAAATAAATAAATAAATAAAATAAGACAAGAGTGGCCAAAAAACATGAAGAAATTCTCAACATCACTAATCATCAGAGAAATGCACATCAAAACCACAATCAGGGGCTGCGCCAGGCACAGTGGGTCACACTTGTAATCCCAGCACTTTGGGAGGCCGAGGTGGGTGGATCACTTGAGGTCAGGAGTTTGAGACCAGCCTGGCCAACATAGTGAAACGCCATCTCTATTAAAAATACAAAATTAGGCAGGTATGGTGGTGCATACCTGTAATCCCAGCTACACAGGAGGCTGAGGCTTGAGAATCACTTGAACCTGGGAGGCGGAGGTTGCAGTGAGCTGAGATGGCACCACTGCACTCCAGCCTGGACAACAAAGAGAGACTCTCTCAAAACAAAAACAAAAACAAACCACAATGAGATTCCATCTCACACCAGTCAAAACGGTTATTCCTAAAAAGTCAAAAAACAACAGATGCTGTCAAGGCTGCAGAGAAAAGAGAATACTTATGAAAGTTCAGCCACTGTGGAAAGCAGTTTGGAGGTTTCCTTCGGAGTTTGGAGCCACTCTTGACTCCCTCTTGGAGTGGATAGATGGTCTTTGCTGGCAGGGCACACTCCAATACTTATACCCTGATGAAGTCCTATTCTTTACTTTTATACTCATTTTTAACCTCATTCCCGTTCTTATGCTGCCCTCTGCCCTTAAATTTTCTTTAAGGCGTTCGTACAGTCCTGGTAACACTTGAAGCAGTCCTGAGAAACATCGCCCCTATGCCAATAATCCCAGAAGAAACTTACATTTTCTTTATCTTTTCTTATAACTGTATATTTTATAAATAAAAAGACAGGAATGTCAGGCCTCTGAGCTAAAGCTCAGTGTCACGCATGTCCATGTGAAGAGAGTCCACCAACAGGCTTTGTGTGAGCAACAAGGCTGTTTATTTTACCTGGGTACAGATTCAGCCTGGGTGGGCTGAATCTGAAAAAGGAGTCAGCAAAGGGTGGTGGGATTTTCATGAGTTCTTATAGGTTTGGGATAGGCGGTGGAGTTAGGAGCAATTTTTTGTGGGCAGGGGGTGGATCTCACAAAGTACATTCTCAAGACGGGGGAGAATATCACAAAGCACCTTCTTAAGGGTGGGGGAATATCACAAAGCACATTATCGCAAGGGCGGGGAGGGTGTATTGTCATAAGGTCAATTGATCAGTTAGGGTGGGGCAGGAACAGATCACAATGGTGGAATGTCATCTTTTGTGGATCTTCAGTTGCTTCAGACCATTTGGATGTATATGTGCAGGTCACAGAGGATATGATGGCTTAGCTTGGGCTCAGAGGCCTGACATTTCTGTCTTCTTATATTAATAAGAAAAACAAAACAAAATGGTGGTGAACTGTTGGGGTGGCAAAAATTTTTGGCGGTGGTATGGAGAGATAATGGGCGATGTTTCTCAGGGCTGCTTCAAGCAGGATTAGGAGGGGCGTGGGAACCTACAGTGGGAGAGATTAAACTGATGAACGATTTTGGGGTGAGGGGTGATATTGTGGGCTTGTTAGAGCATTTGTTGTATAGAATGATTGGTGATGGCCTGGAAGCAGTTTTGTATGAACTGAGAAACTAACCGGAAGACACAAGGTCCGAATAAGAGAAGAAGAAAAACAGGTATTAAAGGACTAAGAATTGGGAGGTCCCAAGACATCCAATTAGAGAGTGCCCAAGGGGGTTCGGCATAATTATTTGCTTGGTTGGAGAGTTTTTGGGCTCTATCCTTGGGTTTTTTTATGTTCTCATATACTAGGCTAGATTGATTTAGGTAAAAACAACACTCTTCATTAAAAAATATAGAGTCCCCCCCTTTTTTTTTTGACAGTGAGTAAGTCGAGGCCTTGGCAATTTTGGAGGAAAGAGAAATACAAAGCCAGCAATTGTTTGCTAAAGAAGGATTAGAAACAGCTAAGAGAGAGTGAGTGAGATGGTGGGAGTGGGGGGGTGGTAGAGGGTGGAGAATAAGAGTGAATATAAAAGTAAAGAATAGGACTTCATCAGGGTGAAAGTATTGGAGGGTGCCCTGTCAGCAAAGATCATCTATCCACTCCAAAAGGGAGCCAAGAGTGGTGGATTGGGGGTAGTACCAGGAGATATCCGCTGCAATGGTTTGGAGGAAAAGTGTAAACCAGCAGTGTAAACAGGGGCAGGGTATTTACAAGTAGTTGAGAATGGTGAATAGGAGTATGACTAGACAGAATATAGTAGGGATGACAAATTTTGGGGGCACAGTCCAAGTAGTGGGGGTGACTGCGTAAAGCCCTGTTACAAAAAGTAGGGTAACAGTGAATAGACCTAATAGAATGAAGGGATGTATTAGGCTCATAAGGGTTATCACTGCTCAAATCCTTGAGCTTGATGTGTAGGGAAGGGAGGGGACCTGAACAATCCCTGAGTAGTAGTAGAATAGGAGATGGAACACTGAGAAGTGATTTCCTTGAGGATAGATTTCCATGATGGAAAGGAAATGAGAGGTTCTAAGAGGTGGGCTAGTGGCTTGTAACCTATATGGAAGAGGTTATGAAATGATGACAGAATAGAATGGGCCTGTGAGGCTGAAAGATCTTTCCCTTGGTCCAAGAGCCATTTGCCTTGTGTGGGAAGAGATTGATAGGTGGAAGTTTCAGTGGGAGAGTAGATGGGAGTGACTGATGAGGAGAAAAACTGGCCGTGTGGGACAGAAGTTGGAACTAGCTGCTTCTTTAGCTACCTTATCAGCATAAGCATTGCCCTGAGCGATGGGATCTGATGCCTTTTGATGGTCCTTGCAGTGAATGACTCCAGCTTCCTTTGGAAGTAAAGCGAACTTGAGAAGTGTCTTTATTAAAGAGGCATTAATGATGGAGGACCCTTGCATAGTGAAGAAACCTCTTTTTGCCCATATAACAGCATGGTGGTGCAGATATGGAAGGCATGTTTAGAGTCAGTATAAATATTGACACACAGTCCCATTGCAAGAGTGAGGGCCCGAGTTAAGGCAATGAGTTCAGCTTGCTGAGAGGTAGTGGAGCGGGGCAGAGTGGTAGCCTCAATGATAGATGTGGGAGATACTATAGCATAGCCTGCCTTTGCTGATGAGTGGTGATTAGGCCTGGTGGAACTGCCGTCAATAAACCAAGTGTGATCAGGGTGAGGAACAGGAAAGAAGGAAATATGAGGAAATGAAGTCAATGTCATGTGGATCAGAGAGATACAGTCATGGGGGTCAGGTGTGGTATCAGGAATAATGTGGGAGGCCAGATTGAAGTCCAGGCCAGGAACAATGGAAATTGTGGGAGACTCAACAAATAGTGAATACAGTTGAAGGAGCTGGGGGGCAGAAAGTATAAGCATCATGTGTGAGGAGGAAAATAGATTTTGAAAGTTATGGGAACTGTAGAGAGTAAGTGGAGCATAGGTTGTGATTTTGAGGGCCTCTAAAAGTATTAAAGCAG